ATTATTGTTAATACTTCCTATAGATTTGCAACTTGGATCTATGGCCAGATAAGATCATTCCAAGACATTTTTTGTGGGGAATATATCCTGATTTCTTTGGTTTTGCAACCTTTACCAATTTGGAAAATAAATAAATCTAGAACTACAGAGAATATACGCAACTGATGTGAACTTACTGCACGATATAAAGCTATGGGAAAAAATCTATACTAATTAGTAAGTGAAATGTGCTTATGAATTTCGGCCAATGAATAAAATGGATTTATTTGAAAAATCAATGTGTGTTTTTATTGGACTAGTTTCCATCAATAATTAATGATTCGTAAAGCCATACCTGACAGTTCACACAATCTAATTTTCCCCTGAAAATTATATCGATTTCAAAAATCAGAGTTTCTTCCTGACACATGTACGTTACAAAAAATTTTACTAAATAAAACTACAATTTTTATGCATGAGTACGAGCCCTGTGTTTGAACGTCGCTGTAAACAGTTGCTGTAGGATAATTTAGTAGCATTGCAAGATTTTTTTTTTTAAATATTTGAAATATTTGCTACGGTTTTTGATTCAATTGTTTTTTCAATTTTGAAGGTATTCGACCGACATTTTAGTATTTTTATATATATTTTTTAAGGGACAAAACACAAACACTACAGGAAAATCCTTAAGGTGCTATTAGAGCGGTGCCTGTGCGAAAGTTGTGATTCACATTGGATGTGAATCGCTGGAGATTCAATCTATTTGGAAAAACATTCTCAGGAAATTTATTCCACATGAACGGCGTTCTCTAAATGGAAGAGTTCTTAAACAGTGAAGTTCTAGGTGTACTGAGTTGAACCTCAAAACGATGAGCAGCCACAATTCGTCACGTATTTCTGACATGTACCGCTCTTGGTGGAATCAAATGTGCCAAGTCACTTGAGCACCTTCCGTGAAAGTATCTACAGTAGAGAGACGAATTTCCAACCTTTCTTTGATGTTCCAGACTATCAATGCTGCAAATGATGTTCGCGTCTCCAATCAGGCGGAAGGCTCTTTTCTGGATGGAATCCAGAAACTTCAGGGTATGTTTGGGGGCGGAACACCATACATGAGTACAAGACTCCAAAGAAGGTCTGATCTGAGCCTTATAAAGCATCAAAATTTACTGAGGTGTGTACAGTTTCCTTTAGAAGCAGCCTTTGCAATTCCAGAGACATGATTATACCAAGACATATTGGTGTCCATTTTAACCCCCAACAAACTCATCGAAGCAGAAAGCGGAATTGTCTGACCTAACATTATTATATCCAGTTCGGAGACATTTAACTTTTTTTTTGGAGACAACCGATGCTTGGGTTTTTGTGGCATTGTATTAAACCTGGTTACTTTCACCCCAATTCGAAATTACGCCTAGATCATCATGAATATATTTAACCTCCTCCGCCGGTGAAGAGGGTTGAAGACAATATGAATCCCTGGGGAACACCAGTGTTGATAATAAAAGTATTCGAGAGATATCCATCGATGGCCACTTGCAGGAAACGTTATTTCAGGAAGCTGAAGAGCCATACACAAAAATGATTCGACACGCCATAGCATCGAAGTTTGGTCAGCAAACCCTCATGGCACACTCGGTCAAAGGCCTTAGAAATATCAAGCGCAACAGAGCTCTTGATCGCGTTATGACAAATACGGGTGACATACGATCGAAGGTCACCTGCGTTGATCTTTGTTTCCGAAAGCCATATTGATGATCGCTCAAGATGTTGAAGCCTTCCAAATATTTGAGGATATTTTTCTGATTGATTCGGCCGTTACTTGATGAAGATCCATAGTAATTTCACAAACTACACTTAAACGATTTGATCTCCACTAACTACAGTGGTTTACGACTTTCTCTCATTTGTGCACATTTTAAATATGATAACGGGCACTTCATCGGGACCAGACGCCTTGTTGATGTTGAGCAGTTTCAAAATTCGCCTGACTAGACACTGACGAAAAGTAATTTCCGGCATTGTGGATTCTAGTGTGGGAATAGTGGGTGCTGCCTTTTCCAGAAAATCGACTGTGGAGTGAGACGCAAATTTTTCTGCTAGTAGATTTGCTTTTTCTATGGCTGTTGTTGCAATTGAATAATTCGCTTGTGCTAGTGGTGGAATTGTGGATTTTGTAAAGTTTTGATAAACAGCTTCAGCTAACGACCAAAAGAATCTAGACCCATTGGGATTGGCAAGCAGTTTATCCCTAATTCTCTGATTGTGAAGTTCTTTGCTTTCATTTCAAAATTTAAATTTCAATAAATGTTCAAACTGAATATTACTGGAGTTTTTTTCCCAACATCAAACCGTTATTTTAACAAATCACCAAGTGATCATCTTCAAGAGGAAGATCAAATATTTGATCTTGAAATAACGGTTGATGGTAAAATAACGGTTTGGTGTTGGGAAAAAAACTCCAGTAATATTCATTAGTACACCAAAGGTTCCAAATAGTGCGTCATAAATGTTCAAACTGTTCACTATCTTCTTCCTGGCAGGTACGTTTAAAAATTTACTCATTTTTTGCCTTACGCAATGTTTCTGAAGTAATTTCGTTGAAAGCACCTTTCTTCTATCCACAAATTCTGAAATAGCCCGTATCCCTACGAAAACATCTAGAGGGCTTTTCTATGGAACCACGTTTGCCTATTGATCGGTTTGAATAATTATCATACAGACACTTTCAAACCAGCAGACGAACGATCACACGTGGTCTTTTAGAATGATCCACTCGATTACCTGATATGACGCCTCTAGAATTATAGAATGAGTAACATCTGTAGTATACGATATATCACCACTTTTCATTTTAGAACTCATCGATAGAAAAGAGATACTTGCAACGAAATCGCCCTAGGAACATTTCATAATGTGAGCAAAGCGTTTGTAAACAGGCGTCATTATGGCCAGGAAATGAATGGTAAACATTTTTGATATTCATTCGATTGAACTGAAATGGTAGTGTCCTCTTGGCGACGAACAAAATGCTTTTTACGTAACTTTTGTCTGATATTGATATCTTGTTAAAACGAGGAGTACTATTTACGTCCGTACTGTATATTAGCAAAAGTCAATATTTTACCTTTTTTTATTTAAAACTTTTCCACAAACATTGGCTATTTTCAATGAGGAAAATTAAATTAAAATTGAATACGAATTATAAATATATAAACATGAATTCTGAACTCATTTTTTTAATCAAACATGTTTATATTAACTACAAATCTTTTTCGAATTCTGTACATTTACTTTATGATTTATGAAACATTCAGTAGTCATTCTGGATAAACTGTTTCATATTCCTTCTTCGACTTTGCCACGGTCATCGCTTGATTTAAAGTCTACTCGTGCTTTATTTATTTTTATTTCGTTGTCCGTTTTGATCAACATGAATAAAGGGTGTGACTTCAATAACTTACATTTCTTGAGAAAATAGTGACATCATTTGTATGCACTGCACCTAGAAAATGTTCATTTGGCTTCATAGTTGGAATCTGGACAGAAAATTTATCGACCTACATCTTCGCTGACCTTCAGTGAATTTTGGTCCTTCGGAGATCAAGCGAAGTTACCCTTGCATCATACACATATACAGTTGAAACACTGGAAGAATACGCATAGACCGTCAAATTGTGCATCAAAGAGAAAAAGGTTCTTCCCGTTTGGCCAATTCCAGTTTTGGGCAAGAACCACTTATATATTCCTGATCTGTCTCACAATGAACATTCATCTTTATTGTTTTTAAGAAATTTGCTTAAATTATTATTCATTCTGTAATCCATGTAATGTATTCATTCTGTGCGGTGGCTGTATGCTGTTTTTTAGGGGGAAACTCAATTACGGTTACATTTTATAAAACCTGTGCGGAATTATGTATGACAGTGTCCCTATAGGATACATTATTCGACACATCTCTATCAGTATATCGCAACGCATGTTTTTTAAAAAAAGAAAGATTCGGATTATTGTGTATTGATGTATTCCAACATTACATGAATTTTTTCATTCTTTAATATTTACATTTAATATGTTTAAATATTTTTTTTTGTTTTCATGTCAGAGTGACGAAAGGCGCGCGGAAGCCAGATATATTAAGAAAAAACTAAAGCCCAATTTTTTTTTCACTTCATTGTTTATAACTTTTGTAATTTTTATCGGCGCGTTTTCGGACCTTTCCTTAAACTTTCTAGGCAAAAATATGAATCGAATGACAACTTGGTCGTTATTTTTGGACAGGGCTGAAAAATGTCACCAAAAAGAGCTAAATCGAGTACATGTGACATTATATGGTTGATCTTTACCCGAATATCTGTTTCGATTTTGTTGAGAGAAATATTTAATGATTCAATTGAAAGAATGATTCTGAAAGAATGACTGAATTTTATAGGTACAACGTATTGAAAAATACTACCTACTATACTCTAGATTTACATCAAGTTCTGATTCACCCATGTTGTGGTGACGAAACGTGATTTTAAGTGATAGACAACTAGAAATTCATAGAAACCAAAGCGTTTACTCGACATCAATTCCATTTATACATTGAAAGTATGCATCTTTCTGTGGTCTGTTATAAAGAATGAAAAACATTCAACTGTGAAATTTATAAAACAAAGAAATGTACATAATCATCAAACAAGAGAGCTCAATAATCTGTAACAAAAAAATTCGAATCTGTATTTTTCTGAAAATCTATATTTCACCTGTGGTTAACAAATGACGTTTTCCAACACAGAAACATTCAAATTGGTATTGAAGTATTATTTGTTGTATTAATTTACATTATCATATTCGTGTGTTCTTTTTATCAATTAAACCAATTATGAAATAGTTTCTTTTGGAGTTATATATGAATAATTATACATTTCCTGTGTAAGCCATTGTAGTTTCTTGAGAAAGAATGAATGTTTCAACAAGTAAAACAGTGTTTTATTTTATGTATGTATGTGACAGTATATAATGGGATCAATACTTACAAGACAAGGTGACCGGCATTTCTCCAGTATAGACCGTAAGAAGTAGAGAACCATATAAATAAATGTAATTGGCCAAAATATGTTCTGCCGCATTGCCAACATTCTTATAAAGGTATCCAAAAATAAAGCCGATTACTATATGCGCTACAATCCTATTTACCGGTGCACTCTGAAACAAAAATATAATTAGTTTCGAAGTCGAGTAACTCATCGAATATTTGAAATCAAGAGACTTTGTATGCAAAAGACCACGGTGATAGTACAGAAGTTCAAAGTATCTCAAGTAATTTCAGTCGAAATTATTCGAGTCTCGGACACACTGCTTGCTGTCTTGTTTGGAGCCGTCCAGCTTTGACGAGTGATACCACCCTGAAAGCAGCGGTCTGTAGGTGATCAGTTGATCGACTTTAACGAGGTATTGCTGCTGGACGACCGACAAACATCTGCGGAAAGAATAGTAAAAAAATTCTATCACCTATAGATGAGTCACAAATTTCACCTGAAATTTTTTTATTGAATGGGTTTTTAGGTTCGGTATGGGTTCGATGTTTCTGACTTAGACTTAAAGAAAGATATATGTTAGCCTCCGGTGTTTCATATTTTTACACAAGAGGTGACCTAGTTTTCTGCAACAATGTACCCGGCGTCATGGAAATGTTCAACATAACGTATGAACCAGAGAAATGGAGACTTTTCATCGATTCATCAAAAAGAAGTTTGAAAGCTGTACTTCTTCACAATGGGAACCAATATGCTTCTGTGCCTGTTGGACACTCAGTCCGTTTGAAAAAATGCTACGAAAATCTTGAATTTGTTCCTAATGAGCTCAGCTACTCTGATCATAAGTGGACCATTTGTGGAGACTTGAAAGTTATTTCAATGTTACTTGGTCAACAAAGTAGTTACACCAAGTTTCCATGTTTCCTATGTGAATGGGATATGCGTGACAGGAAACAACACTATGTCAAGCAGGTGTGACCAATAAGAAAGGGTCCTGGAGTTAAAAATTTTGAAAAACAAAGTTAAGTGGATCCTAAAAATCTTACTTGCACCACTCCATATCGAATTGGGGCTAATGAAACAGTTTGCGAAAGCATTAGACAAAGAGGGACACTGTTTCAAGTATCTTTCTGAAAAGTTTCCTGGTCTATCCGATGCTAAACTGAAAGAAGGAGTCTTCGTTGGGTCTGACATAAAAAAACTTTTAAAAGATGAAAGCTTTGTCACTAAAATGGAAATGAAAGAAAAAAAAACTGGAATTGATTTAAAACTACCATACAATGGCTTCTTCGAGCGTGTCTTCACTAACTATATTCTTAATATTCAATGCTTAATATACCTAATTTTACAATTTGCAGTACCTATATTTCAAGTACCTGTGTTTGTAATGAATTAAATTACCTGAGCTTATGTCCCAGTTTCCACATTTGAAAAAATATTCACTAACGGGGAGTTATTCGATTCTAACTGATCATTCAGTAAATTACCTGAATTCTTGAATCTATTGATTTCTAAACATTCTAGAAGTTTCAAACTTTTCTCTTCTAAATGTAACACGCCATATTCATGATTGAACTCATGTTCTTCTGCTAAAAGGTGGTTTATAAATGTGAAATTGGTCTTTCTATTTACAAAACTACTTCTATGTTCTTTAATTATTTGGGAAAATGCTCTCCCTGTTTGGCCAATATATAGTTTTGGGCAAGAGCTACAAGTCAACTTATATACTCCTGATCTATCCGACACTGAAATTTTGTCTTGCTCACAATTGAAGAAGTGATCTGTAAATTTGAGAGCGAGCTGCAAAACTATAAAACGTACATTCCCAATATCAGAAATCAATACAAAGCTTACTGACAGTGCATCGACGGGCTGACAGAAAGTGAAGTAGCATTACATATAGATTTTAGTGTGAATTATGTCTGCGAGTATCACTCTGAAGTCCAGTCTCACCATTTCGGTGGTTCTCAATCAAATCACCCTGCATACAGAAGTGATGTATCATTTTCCAGCAGAAGCACCGACAAAACAGGTAACTTCATGCTGTACAGTGTCATCCAATCAGAAACTTGGACCTTCTGCGATTTAAGCTCACCTTCATCCAATTTTGTTGCCATATTGTCCAACAATATTGCAGATATATTCAAATTATTTTCCGCACCTCAAGATGCCAACAAAGGTAGAAGCAACGATTTTAAGTAACATTGTCAGAAGGACAAACGGGTCAAGACTGATCATGGGATGGCGGCATGAATGATCTTAGACATCAGTACTGCCCTACACGGTGGACCCCTGCCTGGCTGGTGTGTTTGGATGAAGAGATTGTTCATTTTTTAAAGGGGGACATGAGGACCTCTTTCGATAGTGTCTGGGCCTTCTATATCGGGAGGGGTCCTCTACAGCATAATCTAAAGCTTCCCTAACTTACGGATTAGGCTACGTTCCTAAAACTTATCGGCCTCTGTCTAAAAAACAACAAAATACTGTGGACAAGTTATTATCTTACGAGGAAGAAGATGATATAATACATGACGTGAAAGATTTCACGCTCGGTGATATTACGAACAAAATTAGTATGCCCCGAAAAAGATTTTACGATACTATGTATAGCACAGATGAATCATCCGATGAAGATCAGCCTTTGGCCCCGCTTAAAACGAAAGATCCAACTGATCTAACTGCCGTCTGCGGTACTTCCTACCAAACACTCCAGCCTGAAGACATTCATGCAATGGATATAAAAGACGGAGTACACGTATTGGTTAAAGTACGGGGCGAAAGTAAAATCAAACAGGCAGGAGTGGCAGAAAGTACCGTCGATGAAGAAGGTGATGTCTTGATAATGTGCCTGAAACAGACGATGATAGTGGAAGACTTTGATATGGTAGAGAATGACGTATCATGAATGACGTTCATTTTGATGCTTTGATTGATGTCTTACCGGCTCCGAATGATATTAAAAAGGAGAAGAGAAAATATTTCCAATTCAAGGAGCCACTGTCGGTATTAGAAAAATAAGACTTTCTATCAGTGGCTTCGAAATTGAAATATTGTCTTGTTAGATTGTGCTATTGTTAATGATGAGTATTTTATTTTGTTTTAGGTAATTTTAACTTGTTGACAAGTTAGACTAGATTTTTTATTTACTTGAGGCAAGTGAGTAGTCATTTAATTTATCAAAATACAAATCTCTCATTNATTTACTTGAGACAAGTGAGTAGTCATTTAATTTATCAAAATACAAATCTCTCATTCTGAAGGTTCTTAGATGTGATTTCATTAACTATCTAAGTTCGATTTCATATTATTTTATATGACAATGTTGAAGACTGATGAAGATTTATAACAAAATAAATAATTCTAGAAAACTAAATCTGTTTTTTTCCAAAACTCAGCCTGGAATCCCCCAGAAAAACATCTCTGTTACATAATTTACTACTCTGTCACAATGTTGTCTCCTTGTAGGAAAATTGTTTTGGTCGTTTATGTATTTTGTTATGTTATGTGTTCTTAGTACAATATTGGAAAATTTACATTCATAATATACATAATTCATAATATACTTTATATTAGCAAAAAATCTGACAGAGTGGTATGATATTATGAATAAATACGAATGAATTATTTTAATATTTTCTGAAAGTTCTTTCAGTTAATTATTATTTAACAAAAGTGCAAGTTATTTGACGAACATCATTCGATAGAATAAAATAAAAGATTTCGTAACGAAGGTGTACATTTTGTGTGTCGAATTTTTCTTTCAGGTCTTGAAGTCGTACAAAAAAATCTGTAAACTTATCGACCAACAATTTTTTCCGCTGTTTACCTCTTACGAACGACTTTTGTCGAAACTTGTGCGAACTAAGAATTGAAGAGATCTCACCTTTCAACGTTGAATAGTTAATAGCTAGTGGAAACTTACCCAAGATCTTGTGGTTGTTAATAAATTCCTCTTGTAAAGTAGTAAAAATTGCATAATAACTGCTGCAGGTACAATATTTGGAACATCCAAAGGTAGTCCTTTTTTCTTCTTAGCGAACAAGTCGGAAGAGAGGTGTTCTTTTTCTGTAAAGAAAATAATAATGAAAAGAAAATCATCGACATTTTACCTGATACGTTGGGGGTATTTTTCCTTCGGGTAGTTCTGGAAACAAAAATGATTTTCCCGCACATCAGAATTGCAATACTCTTCTTCACCAACCTAGTTAGAGTAATCAGAGAGATGAGTATAGGAAGTGAGTACTTTCAGAAGTATATCGATCTTTTTGTTCATAAAATTAATAACTTTTTCCAAAAAAAATACATTCAAAGGTAGCCTTCGGGTATATTTCAAATATCATAGACAAGTTGATCTACGTGAATCCCAACTTATAGACTATACCATAAATAATACTTTACAGTATTTTACAGTCCTCTACATGAATCAAGTTGGTTAAACTTCTCGAGCAACTTGCGCAATAACCAATTTGCTTTTCGGCCGTCGTAGTTTGAAACTGTATCCTAACGTTCCGCCAGCCCGAGCGACTTGTTTATTTATCTTGATGATTCACCGATGACTGGTGATTCCTAGTTCGTAGGTTGTATTTAAGTTGAGTCAGGTAGTCCGCCTCTTTGAGATTATGTTTAGGGAAGCATACAATGAAAACAGTGTTCAAGCCCACCAGGAAAGTACATCAAAGTCTGAGATCTGCGAAAGACAAAAGAGATCCATTATCAACTGCGGGGGTATTTCGTATACCATGCACCTGCGGAAAAGTTTATAACGGTACCACCAGAAGATCCACGGGTACAAGGCTGAATGAACATCGGAGAAACTGTAGATTAGGTCGAATAGACAAATCGGCAGTAGCGGAACACGCACTTATTGAAGGCCATCATAAGATATTGTTTGATATGAAACTACTTGCCTCTGATCATGGATACCGCAGTCGGCTTGTACGGAAAGCTATAGCAATCCATAAACATACGGAAAACTACAACAGCAAAGAGGAGACGGCAACGCTTAACCGAATTTGAAATCCCAAACTGAAAGATGCTAAAGTGGCAACAGCGCAATGCAATGCTGCGTCATTCAAAGGTAATAACACTTTGGCCAATAGGAACGCATCAACAAGAGAGGCGGATTACCTGAGTCAACATAAATACAACCTACGAACTAGAAATCACCAGTCATCGGTGAATTACAAGATGAATAAACCTCTGAAGAAGCCAGTAATATATGCTGGCGAAATGTAAGGATGCAGTTCCAAACTACGACGGCCTTCAAACCCGAATGGAGATAGTAACACTGAAGAAAAAGACACCTTAAGTACATACGGACGAATACATAAACCGCAAAGCAGGAGCAACGTTGCAGTATAAGCTATGCAATTAGTGTTGCCAACACCAAGAAACTGAAAAACAACAGCTAACCAATAAAAAAACAGTAGGTAAAGTAAAAGAGGCAGTTTTCATACTGCCCTCATAAAATTAAATCAAACATCTAATTTTATCAGTACCAGGATTTACATACAATGTTATTTTATAATATTGATCACAACATAATAAAAAACAAAAATCAAAGTAAAATTGTTTTTCACTTTTATCCCCAATTGCCCCATCTTCAGTATTTTCAGACTCATTTGAAATCATACATATTTTTGTTAAATATCTTCATGTGCCTTTCTGTGGCATCAAATGAGTAGCAATCGGTTATTTCGATTAATAGTTGTAGGCGATATTCTGTTTCGAAATGTAGTTTTCATAATATTTAGAGCTGAAAATAACCTATCTACGGTGGCGCTGATTCTTCATTTTAGGAGGACTTTTCTAAGTCGATGAATCACTGCTATTTTATCAAAGACGTAGTAAAGAAGCTTGAAGGCTGTAGCCACAACACAATAAGCAACAATACGGTATACAATAGAGCTTTAGCCTGTAGCTGTCATTATTACACTAGGATTTCCACGTGCATTAAAATATGACGGTTATTCACATAGACTGTGATCGGGGAATTCCCTCTTCGAATACCGACAAAAGTACTGCCATCTAGTGTCATTGTGTTTTTTATTACACAGTGGTTATCAAAAAATATTGGCATAGTGTAGTAGGTGGCGCTGAACGCTAATTGAGAAACAAAAAAGCATCAATGTGAAAATAGCTAATCTACTGTTAAAACAGTAGGGTTGGTGACCCTGTACATTATTGCTTAATCTGGAAAAATTTTGACGTGAGAGAAGTGATGAAACATTCAGAGTGATGAGCACATTCAGTGTTGATCGGGGATATGGATTTGGAACTTGACTTATTAGAACTCATCATGACGAATCTGGCGCAAAAGAATTAAAAAAAGCGTAACCACAATGAAGTATTGCCAAAGGAAAGAGCAGTGGTTTGGGCAACTGAAGCATTCCCATATTGAAATTTTGTTACCGCGTGACACTGGTTAATATTTCAGATATAATTGTAACTTGTATCATTTTACATAAGACCTTGCAACATTGAAATTTAGAAGGTCATGATGAAATTAATGGAAATTAGGAGGAGAATGGCAACATTCTTGCCCATGGTAAGGAAGTGCGTAAACATTTAGCAAATATACTAAAAAATTATGACGCAGTGTGTTTACTGATAGTAAACCATTGGTGAAAATATAATGTTAAGTAAAATATATTATGTAACTGTTGTATCTGAATGACATACTGAAATGAATTACATGCCTCAGTGAAAAAAAAAACAGAAAAAGCATCCTTCACGGCTGTTAACAAAATTTGTTCTAAAATTTCGAAAAAGATTTGCTATTTTGTGAGTACCCTTGTTCGTCATTGGAATTTCACAACACATGTTGATGATTTGTAAATAGTTCAATGAAAATCTCACAATACATCCGTGTTCTTTTTTAAAGGGTTTTCTTTTCTTTTTGACTGATTCGGCCGTTACTTGATGAAGATCCATAATAATTTCATAAACTACATCTTACTATTTGATCTCCAGAAACTTTATTTGAGAAATATATCACATGTTTCGCTAACACAGTAGATTCATCAACAGTGATTTGAATACCTCCATCAAAACCTCTGCAACTTTTATATACCTGAGGTACCTCTTCAAAAAAGAAAAATCAAAGTAAAATTGTTTTTCACTTTTATCCCCAATTGCCCCATCTTCAGTATTTTCAGACTCATTTGAAATCATACATATTTTTGTTAAATATCTTGTAAGCGATATTCTGTTTCAAAATGTAGTTTTCATAATATTTAGAGCTGAAAATAACCTATCTACGGTGGCGCTGATTCTTCTTTTCAGGAGGACTTTTCTAAGTCGATGAGTCACTGCTATTTTATCAAAGACGTAGTAAAGAAGCTTGAAGGCTGTACCCACAACACAATAAGCAACAATACGCTATACAATAGAGCTTTAGCCTGTAGCTGTCATTCTTACACTAGGATTTCCACGTGCAATAAAATATAACGGTTAATCACATAGACTGTGGTCGGGGAATTCCCTCCTCGAATACCGATATTGCCATCTAGTGTCATTGTGTTTTTTATTACACAGTGGTTATCAAAAAATATTCGCATAGTGTAATAGGTGGCGCTGAACGCTAATTGAAAAACAGAAAAGCATCAATGTGAAAATAGCGAATTTACTGTTAAAACAGTAGGTTTGGTGACCCTATATGCAATGGAAAGTACACATTCATCAGCATGGATTTGAGCTGGCCTGGTTCGGTACATTATTGCTTAATCTGAAAAAATTCTGACCCGAGAGAAGTGATGAAACATTCAGAGTGATGAGCACATTCAGTGTTGATTGGGGATATGGATTTGGAACTTGACTCATTAGAACTCCTTCTGACGAATCTGGCGCAAAAGAATTGAAAAAAGCGTAACCACAATGAAGTATTGCCAAAGGATAGAGAGCAGTGTTTTGGGCAATTGAAGCATTCCCATATTGAAATTTTGTTACCGCGTGACACTGGTTAATATTCCAGATATAATTGTAACTTGTATCATTTTACATAAGACCTTGCAACATTGAAATTTAGAAGGTCATGATGAAATTAATGGAAATTAGGAGGAGAATGGCATCATTCTTGCCCATGGTAAGGAAGTGCGTAAACATTCAGCAAATATAATACAAAATTATGACGCAGTGTGTTTATTGATAGTAAACCATTGGTGAAAATATAATGTTAAGTAAAATATATTATGTAACTGTTGTATCTGAATGACATACTGAAATGAATTACATGTCTCAGTGAAAAAAAACAGAAAAAACAGAAAAAACAGAATAAGCATCCTTCACGGCTGTTAACAAAATTTGTTCTGAGATTTCGAAAAAGTGAGATTTGCTATTTTGTGTGTACCCCTGTTCGTCACTGGAATTTCACAACACGTGTTGATGATTTGTAAATGGTTCAGTGAAAATCTCACAATACATCCGTGTTCTTTTTTAAAGGGTTTTCTTTTCTTTTTGATTGATTTGGCCTTTACTTGATGAAGATCCATAGTAATTTCATAAACTACACCTTACGATTTGATCTCTACAAACTTTATTTTTCGCTAACACAGTAGATTCTTCAAGAGTGATTTGAATATGTTTCTGATTAAAATCTGTTTTTCCGTTAACCAGCTGTCGCACCCCTACGAACAACAAACCTCAGAAGTCGAAACTTGTGCGAGCTAAGGATTAACGAGGTCTTACATTCTTACCTTCTTACGCTAATATTTATAAATCACAGGTAAATACAATTGAGACTACCTCCATCAAAACCTCTACAACTTTTATATACCTGAGGTACCTCTTCAATTATGATTACCTGAAGCATATTACTTCACTTATACATCAATAATAATACTTCCTCGTTATTTTTTAAGAAAACAAGTTCAATTAAGATGGTCTATTCAAATTAATGTGATCATTCATTATAATGTTTCGATTTTTAAGTTTATTAACTTCCGAATGATTCAGTTTCAAACCTTTATTTTCTATGTGTGAAATTTCGAACTCTTCGTTAAAGATATGATTTTCTTCTAAAAGATGATTTGAATATGTTGAACTTGTTTTCGTATTTACATAGCTCA